ATAACAACTTTCAATGAAATGCGATTCATGACTTTGAGGCGGCAATATTTCCTGCTGGACACACGAGGCAGGTGAGAAAACCTCGTTCAGAAGTGTGCCGAATAACTTTACTTACTATTACGTGTTTTGTAACCTGTGAACAGAACAACAACAATTAAAGGAGCGAACAAGCCGCTCTGTGTCCCCTCTAAGTTGTCAATGACTTTCTTTTTATGTAGGTATGTGAATGTAGATACTTGTGCCGTAGAGAGAGAGTGCCGCTCGAGAATTGAACGCACATAAATTTTATAGGCATTCATGAGCAACAAGGGATTCTTAGACTTGAATGATCTGATTAGCAAAAACACTCTCTGTTCAGCCTTAATTACTAAACTATTCAAGTGATCCTCGAAATTCAACTCTGAACCCACTAACTGAGCAATAGACCTTCAAGTCAGAGGCAAACGTTCTAAGTTTAACACCTAACTTCTCGACTGAAGGCGGCAGATCGAAATGTGTAAATATTGAATAATACTGGAGATAGGACGCTGCCTTGGGGAACCCCATTTGGAGCATTCTCGAACTTTAGACAGTGAAGTACCGATTCTAACTTGGAAAGTTCGCTCACTCAAGAATTCTTTTATCCATTTGATGATTCTCTCGTGAATGCCAACTTGCATGAGTTTGTGAAGCAAAATAGAAGGGATTACTTTGTCGAAAGTTTTTTGAAAATTAAAATAGATGACATCAAAGTTCTATTCTACGTGCAATACATGCTGTCCAGTCATTTACTGCTTCTAACACAAGTGTTACAGCCAATCGCTTTTTTTCTAGACCCATGCTGATGACTAGATAGAACTTGCTTGTCTCTAAGTGATTACAGTGACTCTTTTAGCAATTTTTTTCAAACAACCTGCAAATGTTGAGGTGATACTAACAGGTCGATAAGTATTTGGATAGCAAAATGCAGGCCGTAGTAAATATTTGATATTAGCAAAACGGGGATTTTTTCCTGATTAGACCACATAGGCATGACGCCAGTTTAGAAGAACCACTTCATGGAAAAACTCAAGTTATACAGAAATTCAAGCGGATTTGGTATACTCGCAGCAGTTTTCTTGATGAAGACGGAACGAATTCCATCAGGGGTAGATAGCGGGAGCGCACTAGATCCACATTTGCTCCAGAACTGCATACCAAACGGAATCATCCACAGTCATCCATACGAGTCATACTATCGTGAACAGACCCGAAAGGTGTCGAAGCACATCGCTTGACATAGACCTTTTCGAACTCTGCTGCTAACATTTCAGCATTGCTGGAATCCGAAACAGCTACTGTGCCATCTTCAGCCTTCAAAGCACCTACTATTTCTATACGGTTGATACGGAAATTTAGAAATCCATAGAAAGCCTTTTTGCTTTTTATTCTATGACTTTTTCTCTACCGGAACGTCGTATTTGGAAAGTTTCTTTTTTAACTTATTGCTAACTAGTCTAACTATAAATCAAACCACATCGCGTTCAATAAGCTACGCTATCTTGACGTATAATAGAATGCGCACGGCGTTACAGGAAGGACCCGCTTAATGGCGAGGACGCGGATTTTCGTCCTTCACACAAGTTCTGATTTTTTTTTGTGCCAAGCTGAATTTCCAACGATTGAAAAAGGGGTAGAGAGAGTTCTAGCCACCACTGGTGCTGAAAGAATCTTACGTAGTTACAGTGCGTTTCTGGCTTTTCCTTTGGCTGTCGAGCGGGGAGGGGGGGGGGAGGCGAGCAGGCCGTCAGAATTTAACTATCATTTTCGGCAGTCGGAAATAGTAGTTGTATAGATCTTTGGCAGTCCCTCTCCCAACAACGACCAAATACGACCCCCCTCCCCTTTATAGCGTCCGTGAAACAAGGAAACCAACTATCAAAAAATTTTTTTCTCAGACCAAGTACGATCCCCTTCCTCTCGCGATCAAATGCGACCCCCGTTGTGATCACCACAACGATGGCGTGTCCTGTCTCTACCACTGGAACATCAAAAACCACTGAAGAATCCATTATCTCGTAAGCGGTCATAAACAGAATTACGGTTCCAATCAAGCTCAGGTTTTTGCTTGTCTCTGCTTTGTCGGCTTTGGATTGATAGATCCTATTCTGCTCTAAATGTGCAAAACGGCAATCAGAAGTTCGTTTTATTTCATTTCTCCTTCTTGTTCTGGGAGATCAGACGAACTTTTTGCACACATTAAAACCCAAAACCCTTATCAGAAGCTCTTCCATTGCAGATAAAAGCACTTATCGCTAAGTCTAGCTGCGGGATATCCCATTCAGTAAAGGGCATGTGTCATTTCGCTCTTGAAAATCATGAGGTACTGCAAAAACAACACGAACAGGGGACGCAGTTCGGCGACGTGGTGGGGGACATTTGCGCTTTTGCTGGCTCACTAGTTTAGGATCACGAGCCTGAATCTCTTGAAGGCTGTGAACTCTTGTGAAGATGGAGTAACCTTGTCGAGCCACCATGGTGAATGGTATTGAATAGTAATTGTATTGTACTCCAATGCTTTGCAAGAGTTGACAGGTGGTCCCTACAAACGTTGGCAGGTATTATTTCGTGACTTTCCGATATTTCACAAGTCTCCACTTGATGGCTGGACATGGATGGGAACTAGCAAAAAGAAAAGAAAGAAAGAGAAAAGAACAAAGAAATTCCACCACACTCTCCCCCCCCCCCCCTCCCCGAACATCGCCTGAAGGAGTTGTTATGTGGGAGAACCATCGCATATCACGTCGATTTCAGCGAAATTGTTCAGTTTTTCTTTTCGTACCTCTACCGATCGAATGGATAGAATACGTCGTGTATTTCAATGATAAAAGCTCAAGGCTGAGTTTATTCTTTGCGGCGCGGTCCACCAGCGTGCACCACCGTCCACTGGTTCCGAGCGTCCGGCAGTGTCAGGAACAGAGGGCACCAGCTGTCCTTTACCCCCCTGTGGCACATTCAATTCTGGAGGCCGTAGGCATCTTGTCAATGACCGTTAGGGTAGATACGGCTGCACGCATGTACCACGGCTGCACGCGTACTTCCATGCAGCACCGCAGCCGCTTCATACCAGTTTTTTCGCTTCATAATTTACTAGGAAATGAAGCAATACAAGCATCAGGAGCGGTCGTCCATTTGTGGGCGTGCGTGTCGGTATGCTGTAGCTTGAGAGGGCTTCATGAAAGTACCTCCCTTAGAAAAGGCGCTACGCAGCGCCTGTTAAGGGTCACGGAATTCTGTCCTGCCAAGCGTATTAATCCTACTCGTCTTAGGGATTTATCGTGCCAACTGCTTTCGAGTTGGATTTCCAGTGAAGGCCTTGCTGTTTTCGAACGGTCTGTTTGAATTTCACTTATGGATCTGATGAATGGATTCAGCGCTACTATAGTGAATGAGGGTGGCGCCAAAGACGAACTCTACACTCGCTTCCATACATAGATCTTGGTCCTTGCCACGTGTGAGATGAGCAGGTTTGCAGCTGTAGTAGCGTGCCATTTTCACCAAGCAAAACTGCAGAGATGGTGAGTTCTGCTTTGGTCAGGACGTCGGATAGCGGCGCGGTAAGTATACAGGGGGGGGGGGCCAAAAAAAAGTCATTCCGGCCGAGTCACATATGAGCGAAGTTTTCGCAGCCCAGACAGAGGAAGTGGATATGAGTACCAGGGCGGAAGATACCCAAGATCTTCCTCTATAAGCAGGAGCCGGCTGCCGCCATTCACCTTCATGTACACCAAAATATGAAGTCATCTCCAGTCGCGGCCTGAGTGGAGAACGCCTTTGGAATTCACGTGGCCTCCAAACAGCTGCGGAACTTCTTGAATGGAATGGATAGCTACCTGGAGACCAGTACTCTTGATCTGCAAGACCTCCAACATCGAGCAGCTCCGGCAACGTCGCTACGGTCCAGGACATCATCTTCACCCCATTCACCAAGGCGCGGGTTGATGGTGTGGACCGGCCGTACCTGGAATGGATGAACCGATATTTTCTTCGTGGGCCCCAGACTGAGGGTGTGCGCTGGTGGCTACATCGAGCAACTCGAGGAGAATATCCCATCTTCATGTCGTCGCCCGTACCTTCTTGGAAACTTTGTACTGCTACAGGATTGGGTGACAACACATTTAATCGAAGGGCGTTGGAAAAACTTTCGCCTACTTGGAATGGAAGAACGTTGAGTACCTGGAAAAGATGGAGTATTTAAGCGGGGGTCCTGAACTAAACCCCCTCAATTACTCGGTTCGGGCGGAGCTCAACAGGGTGGTCTACAGTGGCGGAGAAATCAACGATCTCGCTCAACTCCGGTACCCACTCACTTTCGCGCGGCCGAATCTCTCGATGGCGCTCCTCCAGAAGGCTGTGGCGGAGTATCATTATAGTATTTAACGTGCTCTTC